AAAGGCGACCACGATGAGGATGACCACGACGATTCCACATAATCCCGCGTACAACATAGCCTGATCCGGAGGCAAATCAAAATAATCTGAAAAGACAGAAAATTTTTGAACACACCTAAAAAGCTTTGAAATAATTTTGGGGCACTTAGAAAGGAGCACAGGAACACTGACCTCTAAAAACATAGTGATACGTGGTGAACATCGTAAGTAGAGGAAGAACAAACATTGCAGCTGAAAACCTGATCAAGTTTTTGATTGCACTGCGAGTATGAGCAGAACCGGCTAGCAGCTCCTGAAAATAAATATATTACCCATATACAGGAGAAGGCACAAAACGCAAGAAGTTTTGTTTTGAGCGCCGTAACGATAACCACCAATGCATTTGGAGGTTGTGTAACACAACGAATCTTCAACAGCTCACTATCCAGGACCTCAAAAGTATTGAAACGAGCTCAACAGCCTTTGATTCTGTTGCGAAATGTGGTGCCCGTACCTTCGTTTATTAAGAGAACCTGCCCACCGCTGTTACAGCTTCTGCGTTATCACTTGAGGGCAGCGACACTCAGACAAACCCAGGTCGCTGAGTATGCATCCACAGTTAAGGCAGCATTTCGTGCGACTAGGAAAGTATAGGCTTCAATCCAGCGTTTTGAGCATCAACCAGCGTTTGAGCGCCTACCACCATTTCGAGCGCACACATGCGTTTTCATCGTCCACTGGCGTTTTAGCGCTCCGAGCGATTACGAAAGTATAGGTGTCAATTATCGCTGAAAAACACTAACAGACGCTCAAAACGCCGCCGCAAGGTATAGACGCGTTTTGATGAAGACTCTAGACACTGAATTATATCACAAATGTACCAGAAACTTCTGAGCTTGTTTCACTACGTTTGAATTCTTGTGCAGTGAACTTTTGGAAAACGGGCTATCCAGCATCCGGATTCCAATGAGTCTCCGAGATATCACAAGAATGCTGAGTTATGGGCAAAAGTCGGACCACGGACGGGATTCGAACCCGCATCTTCTGCTTACCGGGCAGTTGCGTTCCCTATTACGCTACCGAGGCCACTTTTGACCACTCAGCTCAATGGCTATTTGTGCCACAGCCTTAACCCGAACCCGCATCTTCTGCTTAGCAGAAGATGCGGGTTCGAATCCCGTCCGTGGTCCGACTTTTGCCCATAACTCAGCATTCTTGTGATAGCTTTCGGATCGCGTACTGCGGCGTTAAACAGCAGTTATCAAATAACAGTCTCCGAGAACTACCGATTTCTTTGCAAAAAGTCTCTCTCTCGCCCTCCCAGGAAGGATCAAGCTACAATAGACTCATAGGTGTCGACCTGGATATCCCACGGAAAACCCTTGCCGGAAACGACGCCTTCTGGTGAATTTCACATGACGTACAATAAAATGCACCTAGCGGTTCCGAAAGTCGCGCCTTATTGCACTCGAACTTCAAGCCAGCCTTTCGTACAACCTGCTTTGAGAACTACCGCATTTCCCTGCAATCAGCCTGCACTTCTCGGCAGCTCATCCATTGAAAGAAAAATTATGTTTTAAGTTAGAATCCGCACTTGTCCACTCAAAAAACGATCGCAAAGAAAACTCACGTCGTCAGACTTCGCCCATTCCGGCGTTTCCCCTGCTTCGTCTCGTTCACCATCAGTTGATTTTTCATCCGTAACGTCGCCATTGGTAGCCTTCTCTTCAACCGGAGGATCGGCTACTCCTGAGGCGTTGACGTTTTCGAAGCTTCCAGTTGTAGATGTGTTTGGCGATGAGTCGCCTCGTACTATGTCGTACTCATCAGACATCTGTAGAGTGCAACTAGAAGTTCCACGAAA